GCCAATCAGGAGTGACCCCCAGTACCCCCACTGGGGGTCTTAAGCTTTATTCTATGTCAGATTTCCAACAAATTCCAGAGAAAAAAGTTGGAAAAAAAATTGAAGAGAAAGAGATCACATGGATTGCTTACTGTGTGTGTGTTGATTTCCGACCACACTACAAAAAAGGGGAACTCAGCTGGAGAGCACCGACAGAATAAATTAACCCCAAACAACCTGTCACAGAAAGATAAGAATCCCGCGGTGGTTCGTCTACCTGGGGGCACTCCGACGATTAAGTCAGTTATCTCTCAAAAATAGCAAAAGTGATTAACTCACTATTCAGAATATAAAAAGCTTACTTTAAACCCATGAGGGTATCTCACTTTTATAGCCAATACAAACCTAGTCCCAATAAAAGCCTAGCTTCAATAGACTCTGGATTACTGCTAGTCTTGAACTCCCAGTAGGATTGTGATAAACTCTTTAAGAATCTTATCTTTATCCAAACTGAAGTCTTCTCTCATTCTAAGACTCTTGTCCCTTATTCGTTTATCCCGGATTCCGGTATTCTCACAGATAACCTCGGTTTAGCCGAGATCATCTCAGCATCATGACCAGGACACGTGGCACCCCGGCTGGCACTTCAGTGACACCTCGGCCATGTGTCGTCATTCAAAATTTATGTTCCCACAACTGCCCCCTAAGTTCTATTACCTCGGCATCCTAATGTGATGGAACTTATATCATTTCTTTCATTTAGCACATCAGCTAAGTTCGCTTTATCCGTTATTACCGAGGTCATCATTCGTCGACTCAATATGACCAAGACCTATAGTCTGCATTCATTAGTGCCTCAGAACCATTAACCAGGTTTGTCTAAGTTTCTTAGCCGAGATCATCCTCCAAGCCGAGGTACTGCTTCATTAAATCAAGAAATTCAAGAGCTCCTTCACGCGTATGAGCTGTCACGTACAACAACTCAACCATTCTTGCCCTGCGTCTTTCTCCTTCTGGGCTGTACCTAATATGCGCCACTAAGTCGCGTCGTTTTTTGTATGCGCCGTCTGACATGTACGTCGTCTTAGGCACATTAATTGCCTTTTTGCCTCCGTTTCTAGTTTTGACAAAACTTTCCCCTCTCTCTTCGTCGCTTCACTTTTGCATCTTCATTCTCGTGCAAACTCTTTCTCTTTCCTCTCCCAAATCCGCCATTGCTTCAAACTCTTCAAGCTCTGTAACCATCGCCGTTCACCTCCTCCGGCGAGGCTCTTACTGATCTTCTCCGTTCGCTACCATCATCTAACTCCAGCGTACTCAACACCGGCTTCATTTTTCTTCGGTGAGTCACTGTTTCTCTCTGATTTAACTTCTTGATTTAGTTTCTTGTTCCTCTTTAATGATCTCCACGGCTTCACTCGCTGCTTATGCAATCCTGCTCATGTATTTGTATCTTGAATTCCACCATGTATTGAACATGTTTGTTCCATGATTCTGTTTTTGCCCAATCCATTCTTGACTATACTGCTTGTATATTAGTCGATTCTTACCACTGTTCTTGGCCTTACACACCTGCACAGACTTTATCACTGTGTTCTTGATAATTCATCACTATTCTTGATTCTGAATCACATTCCTGTTTCTGTTTGCTGTGTTTTTTTCCAGATCCTTGCCTTCAACCTTCATTTGCCTAGAATTAGGTTTGAGTTTTGTCGTAGAATTCAAAAATCTTAGGGAAAACTGAAACGAATCCCTCTTAGACCCTCACAAATTCTGACCACAGTGCACATTTAGGATTTAGCCGAGGTCCCTCAAACCTTCGCAAAAGTACTTCCTTTTGAACTCCAACCCCTCCCCCCAAGCCGATATCATGGGTATGTGGAGGCATAGGGTAGACATCCCAACTAAGTTAGAATACTTTAGGCAGGAGTTTGACATCCCGGCCAACGTTCACCTGAGGTTGGCCGGGGAAAACGACTCCATCATGCTCGATGAAAACCTCATGCCTTTCCCTGTCATTGCCTTTACAGAATGTAGACTTAGGTTTCCACTAGACATCCTTTTTCGAGAAGTTCTCCATTACTACAAATTGAACCTGATACAGCTTGCCATTAACTCTTACCGAGTTATCAATGGTATAATTGCCTTAGCCAAAAAAGAGAAAGCTAGGGTTACCCTTGCCGACATCCAGTATTGCTATACCATGTATGGCCTTAAATTAGAAAAAGACTACATCTACTATCTTAAACCGAGGTCCACAAAAGATAAACTTGTTGCCGACCTCCCAGACTCCAACAAGGGAGCCTGAGACAATTACTTCATTGTCTCGAGCAGCTGGGAGTTCGCTCCAAAGGAAGACCTTCATCTCTACCCTCTTAGTCGAACAGTATTCGTAGAGGGTAATGGCAAGAACCAAGTTTTACACAGACTTATTTTTCAAGTCGTTAAAACTTATTCTTTATGTATGTTTTAACGTCTGTGTTCTTTCTACTTGATTAACTTGATCAACAAATAATTACACTTTTTCCCAAGCCTATATAAAGCTTCTTGTGTACTCATTCTTACTCTTTTCCCTCATGTAAACACATTTTGAGTTCACACACACACATACACAACCAACGTGAGAGAGGGAGAAAGAAGAGAAGTTGAGCTTAAATTATTGAGACTGTAAGAGAACTTGTGAATTTGGACTTAGGAACTCAAGGATCAAACTTCTAGCTCTCAGCTTAACAAGTTTAGGTAAGAATCCAACCCTTTGTTTGGACAACTATGAAGTGTAAGACATGAACTCTAGAGATTTGAGTTGATTAATGTAAGAATTGGGTTAGAAATGAAGAGTACTGAGCCATACCATTTATGCATGCATATTTTCTCATATTTTGAGTTTAATTGCCAAGAATTCCCTTATATATGTTTTGGATTCACCTTAATTTTGGGAAATCATCGAGTTTCATGTTTAAGTTCAAAGAAATTCAAGCATGTCATGTTCATGAAACATTCATAAATTTTAAGTTGAATTTTTGCACAATTGGCAAGCTATGGGGCCATGAATTCTTGAAATGATCATTAATTCACGATGTTTTATGAGTTTCTAAGTGTTTCCTCAAGTTTGGGCCCAGAAAAATCGAGTTTGATGCTTTAAGGATGAGTTTTGAACTTGAAGAACAAATATGAAAATTCCAGAATTTGCATCTACGCTCGAGCGACCACTTTGAGTGCGTGTACTTCCGCTCGAGCGACTAGAAGTCCGCTCGAGCGTGAAATGCATGCTCCTAGAAGTTCATCTGTTTTTGCAGATTGCTCGAGTGACAAAAGTCACGCTCGAGCAAAGGTTTGAGTCTCATGCTTGAGCGGGATCGAGCGTCCATCGAGCGTGAAATTAAAGCAACCAGTACTTTTGTCAAAGTTTGCAAACCGTTCGAGCGAAGAAAGTTACGCTCGAGCGGACCCTTTCATTTTGCATGTTCGCTTGAGCATGAACCCTATTTTCAGCAACTTTTGAAAAATGTTTTCAAGTACATTTTTGCATCCTCATTCCATTCTAGACATTTCTAGGCCAAAATTAAAACACTATAATGAGGATAAAGGCCAGAAACACACTTAGGACAAATGAAATAAGTTATGTGCAATTCGAGCGTGTGTTTCAATATATGTGTCTGTCATGTTATGTAGGTCACGCACCTCAAGTTAAGTGAATTCCCTACTCTATTCGTCTACTTGGAGCCACCGGTTATCTGTCAGTAATAACTCTGTAAAGCTATGTTTGACTTTAATTATTTTCTGATGATAAGAAATGATCAGTTTTCTGAAATGTTATGTTTTGTATGAATGAATGATTGTCCAAGTTTTTTTTGAAAAAGTAATTGTGGTATCCTTGGCAGAGGCCCTCTCCCAGGGGACATAATACTGTGGTTTATGGTCATGAGGCCCTCGCCCGGGGGAGATAATACCGTGGCACAGGCGCCCTGGCCCGGGGGAAACAATGTTGTGGCTCATGTATGAGATATGTTACTCGGTACCAGAGGTTCCTTTTTGGAACTTGATATGCTTGACCAAAGAGACATGTTTATGCTAATGGATGTACCACACATGACTTGAATATGAATAAGACTACGACTCTGTTTCTGATATAAACCTGATTATGATTCTAATTTGCTACGAGATTTGAAATATGTTCTGGGTATCATTCATTAAAATCTTTACTATATTATTATTCCCTGGGCTTCCCCTCATTGTTTATATTATGTATGTAGGTGACAAGGCACGTGACCAGACCCAAAGTTGAGGATCTGACACTTCTGTTTTGTCAGCCAACCGTTGTGCCTCCGAGGAGGTTCCCTTGTGTGATCAAGTCAAGTCCAAGTGGCATAAGTAAAGACCTTATGTTTTTGTTTGTAATACGATAAAGTCTTTTGTTTTGTGTGTAAGAGCTATCTTCATTTTTGGACTACAATTGTATCAAATGTGATGAAGACTAATGCATCACGAAATCATATATATAAATATAGTACATAAGGTTTCAAATTTCTGTCCCATGTATATTTGTACGGCTCTATGGACTATTCATATTTGGTGTAATTGCTTCTGCAACCCCCAATTAAATGTTATCCTGTTAAGAGGCCTTTGGTAATCCAAGGATTACTGGCTGGCTATGACGCTAAACCTATAGAGGCAGGTTTGGGTCGTAACAAGGTGGTATCAGAGCACATGTTAAACCGCACACACGAGTCCATAAGAGCTATAGGATGTCCTAGAAAGAATTAGGGACATTTCATAGCATGTGTGAGTGTGTGGTAATCTTCATTCACAAATGTGAAAACTAAATTTGAATTTGGACAAATAAAATTGAAGGAAATGAGCAAGATTATCCCTATATTTATAATTGTTTTGTTTACCTATAGCTAATGGAGAATGCAAGAAGTAATGAGACAAGTGAATCCTCAGAGGCTTGCATGAGCCGAATAGAACAGATGATTACCGCTTTAACTGAAGCAATAGCACAACAACAAAGACAATAACCGATGCCTCCTCCACCTCCTCCAGTCCAAGTTGAACTGGATAATAATGACATCATCAACCTAATGCAAAAATTCATGAAAATGAAACCACCAACTTTCTTGGGTGGCATTGAGCCGTTGAAGGCAGAATCATGGCTGCTTGAAATGGAAAAATTATTCGAGGTCTTCCCCTACACTGAGATGCAAAAAGTTCTTTTAGCCACTTACACCTTAAAAGATAAAGCCCGTAGATGGTGGCTGTTAATTCGAGGAAGTAATGGGAATATGATATGGATCCGTTTCAATGAGATTTTTTATGACAAATACTTTTCCCAATGCTTCAGAGATCGGAAAGTGTCCGAGTTCCAAGAACTTAAGCAAGGGAAGATGTTTGTAGCCGAGTGTGAAGCTAAATTCACTGAGTTGGCTAGATTTGCTCCTCATATGGTCGACACGGATTTTAAGAAAGCCCGCAAATTTGAGGGCAGACTAGATTTAGATACTAGATCGGGTGGGAGTTCTTAACCTACCCACGTAAGTGAATGTATTGGATAGGGCACTAATGGCGGAAGCCATTTTGGCAGCAAAGAAACAAACTTTTGTTCCACGAACTGATTAGATGGGGAAAAGGTTCGGAAACAGTTTCAAAAGGGGCCGTTCATTTACTGGGAATACGAAACAAAATACAGGATCATCTAGCAGCTCAAGTCAAAGTGGTGGATCAACGCCTAATTGTGCTCAGTGTGGGAGGAGACACAGAGGGGTTTGCCATCGAGTATCTGGCGTATGTTTCTGGTGTGGCAAGACGGATCACATGATAAAGGATTGTCCAATCGGGTCCGAAAGTGTCAACCGTCCTGTAGCAGGTTCGGCAGGATCTACTTCTGGATCAAAAGCAAATGTTAGGGCTAATACTGGGAAAGAACCTCTGAAGCAAGGTCGAGTGTTTGCTTTAGTGCCTGGTGACGTACAAAACACCGAAACTATGGTGTCTAGTATACTTCCTATATGTTCTCAAAATGCATGTGTATTGATCAATTTCGGTTCTACACATTCCTTCGTATCGTATGCTTTCTCTCGGAAATTAACTAGACCACTAAAACTTATGACATATGTGTTATCTGTTTCTACACCGTCTGGGGGTTCTATGTTATGTACTTATGTTTATCCAGCATGCGACATTATGGTTGGTGATATGACATTGTATGTTGATTTGTTGTCCTTGAACATTGATATTTTTGATTGTATTCTGGGTATGGACTGGTTGACTAAATATTGTACTCTTATTGACTGTGCAAGTAAATCTGTTGCATTTAGACCTCCGGGTATGCTTGAATTTATTTTTACTGGAAATGGGGTAATTCCTCCCCCGTACCTGATTTCTGCCATGAAATCTGTTAAATTGCTTAGGAAGGAATGTAGGGGTTACATGTGCTGTGTTTTGACTGAGACCTCTGATAAGACCAATATGGAAACTATCCCTGTTGCTTGTGAATTTTCCAATGTGTTTCCGGATGGCTTGCCTGGAGAATTAGTTGATAGGGAGATTGAGTTCACTATAGAAGTAGCGCCGAGAACACAACCTATTTCTAAGACCCCTTACAGAATGTCAACCTCAAAACTGAAAGAATTGAAAACCCAATTACAAGAACTGTTAGACAAGAAATTCATCCGCCCGAGCACTTCACCTTGGGGTGCTCCAGTCCTATTTGTCAAAAAGAAAGACGAATCTTTGAGATTATATATAGACTACCGAGAATTAAACAAGGTAACCATCAAGAATAAATACCCTTTGCCCTGAATAGATGACTTGTTTGATCAACTTCAGGGAGCCCAAGTGTTTTCCAAGATTGACCTTAAATCCGGGTATCACTAGTTGAAAGTTAAAGCAGAAGATGTGGAGAAAACCGTACTCAGAACTAGATACGGACACTATGAATTTTTAGTCATGCCATTTGGGGTAACAAATGCACCAGCAGCTTTTATGGATCTAATGAATAGAGTTTTCAAACAATACCTTGATGAATTTATTGTTGTGTTTATTGACGATATTTTGATTTATTTTAAAGACAGGGAAGAACATGAGAATCATCTGAGAATTACCTTGCAGATTCTGAGAGAGAAGAAACTATATGCCAACTGTCCAAATGTGAATTCTAACTTGACAGTGTGGCATTTTTGGGACACGTGATCAACAAAGATGGTATTTCGGTTGACCCTCAGAAAATTGAAGCTATTGTGAACTGGCTTAAACCGACGAATGTGACCGAGGTTAGAAGTTTTCTGGGACTTGTAGGTTACTATAGAAGATTTGTAAAAGACTTTTCGAAACTTGCCATGCCATTGACTCAGTTAACTCAGCAAAATGTGCCATTTGATTGGAACGAACAAAGAGAGTCGGCTTCTCAAGAATTGAAGACTAGATTAGTAACTGCACCGATTTTGACTTTGCCTAATGATACTGATGGATTTCAGATCTACAATGATGCGTCCTATGAAGGTTTAGGTTGTGTGTTAATGCAAAATGAGAAAGTAATTGCCTATGCCTCTCGGCAAGTCCGTCCACACGAAAAGAATTACCCAATACATGATCTTGAACTGGCAGCTATATTTCTTTACCCAACACATTATCTATATGGAGTTACATGTGAAGTGTATACTGATCATAAAAGCCTCAATATTTCTTTACCCAAAAGGAGTTGAACATGATATCTGCCACTATGCAGGAGAATCCGTATAGGTGTTCGGGTGTTCGATTTGGTAATAAGAGAGGTCCAACATGTTGTTTTTATTAGTTAAGGTTTGTTGATGAAATTTTTTTGTGAAATCAGAAAAATTTCTCTGTATCGAATTTTTTCTCTGTAAAAATATTGAGGAACCTCAACTATTATAAAAATAGAATTTTTTTAAGGTATCTGATATTAAGATTTTATAACATAAAAGACATACAATATTTTCATATTAGTTAAGTTCTTTCAATATTTTAATAGAGAAAAATTCAATTTAAAAAAATTTCGCTCGGCAAAAAGAAATTTATTTTCAACACAATAATACAATAGGATGATTAGAACGAAATTTTCATCTCCCATTACTTCCAAAAAAAAAAATAAAAAAAAAATAAAAAAATATTAACTGCTCAACTTACTTTGCAATTTAAGAAATGTTGATCATGAAACATTTCATCTCCCACACACACGCGTACACACACACTGAGAGAGAGAGAGTGTTAAGGAAATGTGGAATGGAAATGTGAATACTTTCCATTTGATGCCCCAATTTTATATGAAAAAAAGAAACTACCAAAACAAGAATATGGAAAAAAATGAACTCCCGCTCACGATAAAAGCCACTCACTACATCTCTACATCTCTACCGCAATCTCTACAACTCTGTCTTCCTTCTGTCTTTTTTCCCAACCAAGAATTACAATGGATCAGCAACCACAATCCATTATTAAAAAACCCTCAAAGTTTTCCCGGTTTCTGCGATCGATTTTTGGCAGCTGCGGCGGGAAGTCGGTGGAGAAGACATTAGTTGAGGATGAAAAAGATGGGAATAGAGATTATTCTTTTTCTTTTTCTTCCTCCGGCTCGGACTCGGATTCAGCTTATTCTTCAAAGGAAAAGGGCAGTAAAAATGGAAAATTGCAAAATGAGTTTCAGAAGGTGACAGATGACATTAAGGAAGAACTTCAAGTGGCTGACTTGAAAAGGAAGTTGACAGAAACTACTGAAGAGCTTTTAGAAATTCATCCCCGTGAACTCAAGTTCATATGTGAGTCTTATCAATCTCGATCATCTGTTTTCTTAGTCTCTCAATTCCATACATTTGATTTTGTTAATATTAGTACATATTACATTTTATTTTATATATACTCTTTGTTCACTTAACAATTGGTTATCTAAAGCAATCGTTTTGAATAACATGCCCTAATATTATTCCTTTTTTTCTTTTATAGTTGAATTGAAGAAGCAGTCAACGTGCTCTGTTCGACTCTTCAATAAGTCCAACAACCATGTTGCGTTTAAGGTACAAACAAATCATGTTTTATTCGCATGAGTAGTACTAGTGAAACATTGCTGCATTTTCTAAATGGAATGGTGGGTGGAAATATAATCAATGGATTTTTTGGCAGGTTAAAACTACATCTCCAAAAAAAAAATATTCCGTGCGACCGAACATTGGCATTATTAAGCCAAAATCAACTTGTGAATTCACCGGTATGTCTTGTAACTTTTATTGTAAGTGAAAGTTAATGTATCATAAGGTTTTTCAGAAAAAAAAAAAGAAAAATGAATAAATACTTGCTGTATTTTCTAAAGCACACATACAAATTGGTTACCTATATATATTGGTATCAACAATTGAGTAAGGAGTGCATACTTCTCATTTTATTAGTAATTGAATTGAAAAAACTTTATTAAAGGGTATTTGAAATTAGTTGGATAGCAGTAACTGATGGGGATCCATCATTCATACCTATGTGAGGCAAGGACGGAATATTTTTGGAATTGATTTATTTATTTGTGCTTTATTTTAGGATTTCTTATTTTAGGACAGATCTTGAATATGCATATAGACTATTGTCATGGAGTGATAATTCAAACCCTGAATTAAAATTGTGCAGATGTTTCATAGAAGGCCGCATGCCAAGCTATTTTAGTTTAAAAGCATAGGGGGTTATCCTGGGGTGATCATATTAGGCATCATTGTTGTTGGAATGCTAGTTGATAAATAGACTGATGATAGGGGTGTTGGGAGCATTGGACCAAATGAAAAAAGTTATAAAGTTTATGGATTTTTATGGAATTTTGTTAGGAAAGGAAGGAAAGGCCATGGCTTTAACTTTTTGTCCCTCTAGCTCCAACCAATACTCATTCAGATGATTTTCCGAGCTTCTCGGGCTCTCCAATTTTTCTTTCAATGTTTGTGCATTATCAGAGGCAATTTTTTGGATTCTTTTTGTTTTGGTTAAGGTAAAAGGACAGTTTTCATTTTCGTGGATAGAGATAAATTTATAGACTCAGATTAGTATATCATTATTTTCCCATCACTGGGAAATGTCCTTAGATAAAAAAGAGGAAAATTAAGAAAAGAAAGGCAGCAAAAGTAATCTCTTTGCACATTATTAAATTTACACAATCTTTAAACTGCCATCTGAAATAAACTTGATATATTATTGCAGATTTTAGAAAATGTTGATACATTCAAATATTGTGTTCACATCTACTACATTCATCATACTATCTAAATGTTTGTTGTCCTTGTCTATGGTTGTTCATGGTTGACAAATTTGGTGTTATGTAGTTAAGATGCAAGCACAAAGGGTGGCTCCTCCTGACATGATATGCAAAGACCAGTTTTTAGTTCAGAGCACAGTTGTTCCTGCAGGGACCAGTGATGATGATATTACTCCTAGCATTGTAAGTTGTTTTGTAGTTGTATATAAAGTTGTTGGTCCTGATTTACTATTCTGGTTTCTCACGGTTTAGTTTGGCAGTTTGCCAAAGATGATGTCAGATACGTTGAAGAGAACAAGCTGAAAGTGGTCCTTGTCAGTCCCCCCAATTCTCCGGTACTTTCACCAATCAATAGAACATTGAAACAGGTGCCGGCTTATGAACCTTCAATACTGAAAGATCAAGTGCTGAGGAAAGTCGAAAGCCTTACCCAACGTCACACAGTAAGAGATTCTCCTTTTACTTTGATATTAGGCTCATCTATGTACATTTTATATGTGGACATCAACATGATGTAAGTCTATTCGGGGAATTGTACATGTGAATCTAATGGTTACATTGGAGCTTCATTATGTTCTGGAAATTGACCAGTTAGGAAAGAGATTTGAGTTAGGGATTCAGCATATGACTCAAGCTATCTGTCATATTATAATGAAGTTCTTTTCCCTTGGTGTTGTATCTGAAAATATAGTATATTTGTGATTTTGATTTTTCGTTTGTGTCAGGTTACTGAGGATGTGGAGTCCAAAGTGGAAAATAGTGAGGAGGCAAATTCAGCAAAGAATTTAGAGTATAAAACAAGGAAGGATGCGGATGAGCCTCTAATGAATGTCGGGTATAAAACAAGGAAGGAAGTGGATGAGCCAACAACAGATGTAGAGCATAAAACAAGGATGGATGTGGATGAGCCAACAACAGATGTAGAACATAAAACAATGAATGATATGGAGGAGCTGAAGTTGGTTAAAGATGTTTCGGAAATGAAGTCAAAACTAAATGGACTTGAATCAAAACTAAGTGAGGTCAGTTTTCTCCCGGTTTTCTGGTTTCCAACTACTTGTATTAATCATGTGGCTTTCCTTGTTCGCTGGTTAGTTGCTAGGGTACCTGGGTTTAATGAGACTTCTCTGGCAGCTATACCTAGTTTGATATTTTATGCCTCCAACATCTCTGGTTTTTTTTTATATGAGGGATACATTTATGAGAGCTTGTTAATATGGAAGCTATACCTAATTTCTTCTAGATATATTTTATTTTCAATCCATGTGAAAGATATGATAAACTGTGGGATCCTTGTGGACTTGGTTGCCC